CGAAGCACGGGTGTTGGAGGGCGCGCGGACGGAGGCTGCCCAGCTCTCCGAGGCTGGGCCAGGAGGTGCGGATCAGTCCAGCCCCAGGTCCGAGTCGGACGACGACCTCTCGTCGGCCATATCGCGGATGGCGTTCTCCATGGGCGCCAGGTTGCCGCTCGGCGTGATGCCCATGGGCTGGATGACTTGCTCTCTGCAGCCAGAGAGGAGAGGGGGGAAGATGGCAAATTTGCAGTGAATGACACGGGAACAGGGCGCAGCAGAAGCACAGGGCCTGTGGGAAGCGCCTGGAGGCAGCCCAGAACAATCCCAGGCCACCACTAAGAACTCCTCCAAAGCACAGGACAGCTCTTGCCATAAAACCTCTGGTGCAGCGGGGCGAGGGCTGGAAGTGCAACCCACAAGTGTTGCCGTGCTGAAGGCCCCTGGACAGGCTCAGGTTTAGGGTCCTGTTCTGCGTGATACAGGATTGCCAGAGGAAAGAAAGATGTTTCTCCTCAAGTTCCACCTCAACCTGATGAGAAACTCCTTGGCTGTGCGGGTGCTGGAGCCCTGGCCCAGGCTGCCCAGAGCGGGTGTGGAGTCTCCTTGGGACCTACTCCCTTCATCATCCTCGTAGCTCTCCATTGGAGAGTCCAACGGAGAGCCACGAGGATGATGAAGGGACTTGAACCAGAGAGGGTGTGGAGTCTCCTGCTCTGGAGACTTTCCAACCCGCCTGGACGCGTTCCTGTGGGGCTGCCCTGGGTGACCCTGCTCTGGCAGGGGGTGGCACTGGGTGAGCTCTGGAGCTCCCTTCCTACCCCAACATTCTGTGAGTCCATGAAAACCAGCACTGGCATCCAACACGTAGTAAATATTCCTCTAACACACACATTCAATGTTCCTCTGACATACGCACTGAATGCACCGCCCTTCAGCTAGTGGTGGCCGTGGGGACACGTCTGTGATAAATGTAACCCACAGAACTGCAGGTGCTGCCGCAGACACGATCACACGCTGTTTTCTAGTACCTGGACAATTTGTCGAACATGTTGACTAACTTCATGGCTTCGTACTCCTTCTGCTCTTCAGTCATCCCTTCCATGGGGTTGGGTAGTTTCTCCTCCACACGCCCCGTTACAGGGTTAATGCTGCAAGAAGAACAGAGAGACCGTGACACAGGAGGGAGGTGAAGCAGAGGAGTGACACAGGGGCTGTCTGAAAACATTCTTGGCTTCTACCGAGCAGAGGAACACGACAGCAAGGCTGCTTGTCACTGCTGCTCATCTCGTTAGCACCAAGCGCCATTGCAGTGCAATGTGGTGCTTCCAGCCTGCTTCTGGGTGTCCCACACACAGTTGTCCCCCCTTACAAATCCCTCCCATTTCTCTGGTGTGAGCAACGTCCCCATCCTGCTAACTCCTGCAGTTTTAAACCAGGAGCACAAGGCAGGTGACACTTGGTCCCTCTCCTTAAGTCAGGAGGCAAAAGGACAACACAAAAACAAAGCCACGACATGCCAACCTGCAGACCACATCGAATAGGATGCTAAATGTAGGGGACCCACAGCTGAGCACAGCTCTCCCTGCCCCTCATCCCCGAGTTACCACCACTAACAGGCAAATAAAAATTAAATAAACAAATAAATAAAAAGCCCCAAACAAAACACCCAGCTCACTCCAGCAGCACAGGGCTCTGGAGATGGAGAGGAGCAATTGGCACTTCCAACCCTGCTGCAGGAGGGGACTACCCTCATCCCAGCACTCAGGAAAATCCTGCCACCGTACCGATGTGTGTGGGCCTAAGAGACGGATCAGAGCGAGGTACTGCCAGGCCTGCACCACAAACGGGTCTGGCGCAGAACGGGCTCCGGCTGAAGGAACCCACTTCACTCCAGAGCCTGTGCCCAGCCGCAGGGAGCAAACGTACGCAGCGGCGACCACCTGCACCGCGAGCGGCTCCCG